TACCACTTCAGTTCTGAAGCATTGTTATAATTATTTGATAGGTAATTTTAATGAATAGTATTATATTTTAAATTGCCATTGTTTTGTTGGAGAATGTTTGAAATAACTTTCCAACTTTTAATAAAGCTAAATAAATTCTGTTGAGATTGCAAGATCAGAAGTTAGTGTTTGTGGCAGTTTGAAAGTCTCTGTTTTTTCCCGCAGGTTTAAATGAACAAAAGAGAATACTGGGCTAGAGTTTCTAATGACAGGCAATGGGAAGCATAGACATAGAAAAGAACTAATGAAAAATGCTCATTTTCTTCAAATAAATTCAAATGTAAGGATTAATATTAATAACAACTTGATTTTTACAACTTTTAATCATAAGGGCAGATGCACCAAAAATGTTTATCTATAAAAATCATAAAACCATGCCATGAATTCTGATTTGATTACAAAAAAGAGAATGGGTTGGTTGTAAATTAAATCTCATGCACTTATATGGAAATTCCTTATTATTTTACTTGTTCAATGCAATTTCTTTCAAACTCTTGTTTAACTCTCCTGTTGTGATTGTTACAGAACTATAAAAAAGAGGAATAATTTCCATGTTGCATGTTTTATGTTTCTTGGCCTCACACTACAGTATTCCCTCTTTATTACAATAAATGACAGTGAGCGTCCATTTCAGATTAAAAGGAGGAAAGCTTTATTTTAAAGAATTCTATGAAATGAAAAAGCTTATCCGAACAGTAATTCTTAGAAGCCTGTCGTACTATTGGATCACAAAGATTTTCATAATTGTCATACGCTTTCATCTATACCCAGTCAAAAGCACACTCTCAATTATATGTACATACTGAAGAACATCAAAAGCACCCAGAAGGAAACAAATCTGACTAGCCCAGATATTTTAAATGTTTTATCTTGTTGTTCAACAAGAAGACTAAAAGGCATATGCACAGAAGCCAAGTATGAATGTGAGCATTTCTTAAATCATTTAATAGCCCCACAAATAATTTTGAAGCTTCTAAGATATCGCTACACTTTACACTGAGCTGCTGAAAGAGTAAATGTTTTTATATCTTTCATAATTAATGCGATGGCTGATTAGCTTAAGATGTCATTATCAAAACATGGTGGTGACTTACAACTACTGTAATTATACAATATTTTGCAGCAAATTATTAATTCTAAACAGCAATTAGAGCTTAAAAATTATTGAAATTTATACAGTCAATTATTAATTTGGAAGTTGCATTGGGTAAAAAGTATTGATTAAATCAACCAGTTTATACAATGTCTCAGTCTGCTTCTATTTGATCACAAAATATAGATATGAACTCGACATGCCAACAAAAATATGATAGCAAAATCATAAGATAGTCAAATGAAGGTCTTTAGCCAATTGGATCTCATCATCCCAGAATACCATGCTACCATTTTCCAATTACAGTATGAAGCTGTTTCTTAAAGAGCAAATGTGTTTATATCTTTTAATAATTAACATGACGGCGATATCTTATTTATTACTTGATGAGACCACCAGCTGACATCTCTACGTAAGCTGCTCAACCTCAAATTGAAGAATTTTATAGCTATAGCTTTAAAATTTCTTTCAGGATGTGTGCATGTCCACCAGGCTGAGATAACATACCTTCAGAAGCTTCGCTCTTTTTGTAGTTCTGTTGCTCTTCATTATTTGTGACGAAGTCGAGCTATTTTATTTTCAGAATTTTTCCGAAATATCAGGAAGACTGTCTTCCTGAAATGCCGGATTTCTAACCCCCTCAGAGAAGTGATATTGTGATTCTACTGTCAAAACACTTCATTCTGCTATTTGAAGTTGTTCTAACACCGTTCTCAAGTATGTCTAACTTCTGAAAGGAAAAGCTTGCTGTTTCAATCCTCTATTCAAGCTATTTAGTACAGCAGCTATCTGCCAATTTTACCCTCCCAGGTACCTTCATTTTGTCTGATTGCAGGTGATATCCATGAATGGATGATACCAACTCTACTTGTTAGTGTCTATTGATGTTGATTCACATATATCTTCCAAAATAGATTTGTGTTTTCTGTTCTTTCTTCCAATTTCTAGAAATTACTTACTATTAATAAAAATTACCTCTGAGTCATCAGACATGGAGATCACAGCAGAGACACCAACAATATCACATTTCACATCTATGGCCTTTCCCATATTAAAGTTAAATCAGGATTTCAAATAGTAGGAAACAGGCCAGGATTTTGGGGCCTATAAAGCTGAGGCTGCATAATAAGCAACATTGTAGTCCTGGCCAAAAATCCACCAGATTAAAAAAAACAATTGGTCACTTTACTCCATAGTTGGCAGTGGGACATTTCTCTGTGAAAAATGACTACTGAGTTTGCCTACAAATATAAAGGCATCACTTCATGTCGTGAAGCACTTTGAGATGTTCTGACATGATAAGGTACTTTATTAAATACAAGGATTATAAGAAGGGAAAACACAAAATATTAACATACTCAGTAATATTTGTCAGCATTCCTGTATCCACTGGATGTACTTTCTTGTTACATCATCTAATATGCCAAATAAAACCTTTCTTATTGATAATTTGGTAATGTAATAAATAAAAAATAATAATTTGGTCACTCAATCCACGACTGTTTATGGGACACTGCTGTGTGTAATCGGCTGCTGCGTTTCACCTACATATATACAGTCAATTCACTTTACAGTATATTCTGTGAAGAGCTTTGAGATGTGTAGAAGATGTGAAAAGCGCTATATCAAATGCAAGGATTATTATTTATTATTATAATGTTAAATTCACTGGCTTATATGCTAAGGTTTAAATGCAGTTAGAGTTGCTGAACCTTGGAGCAACTTGGAACTTGCATTCGGCTATGAAAAGATCATGACATAAGCATAAATTCTCCATGTTTCTGTGTTCTCAGCAACTGCTAAGGTCAATTTCCTGAAGTATTTATCCTGCAATTGCCTCTGCCTCACTTTGTTGTCTTACCAGCTAGTAAATAAAAGATTGTTTTATAAATGTACATCAAAATCAAGGCTGCCTAGTCCAGTCTTCTATTCTTATAAAGGTGTAATTACAGAAATGTACTAAAATTAAATTTCAGCCTATCTTTGCTACATTTGATTAATTCATATGACTTCGCAACTGTATTACACATTTTTAAGGATCAAATTGCTACTATAATCTTACAAAGTTAAGAATTGGTTTGGGAAACAATATTTAAAAGCATACATCATTCTTGGTTATTTTGCTGTAGAGATTTACAGAATGTATAATCCAAGAGAATTAAGATGGATTAAACTAGAAACTAGAGTGACCTTGCTTAAGCTTTTAATAATTTAGGATAACAGCCTTGGATATGCAGCTTTTGGGTAATATGTATATTTGCAGGCAGATGAGTTGTTCTAACCCTTTTATGGTGGATTATTACTGTGATACAAATCCTTGAATTTAGCCCAATAATTGTATCTGACCTAAATTCAGAGGCAATGAAATGAAACTAAAACATGTTTATAGCTGGTAGGAAAAAAATGCTAGTGTGTTAGAATGGATCAAAGGGTTCAGTCAAAAGTATATGAGGTCAAAGTTATATTTGTAACAACAGTAGATTGAATACCAACAACAAACAGAATACAATAATGAGAATGCTCACAATACTCTTCCAATCTCATGATGTTCTCTGTTAAAAATACATGAGAAAAAAATTGCAGTTTCCATTGTATATACACAAGATTATAAGAACAAAACAAAATATGGTGATGATATGTAAAAACTAAGTTATATTGTCAGGAACAGGAATCTAAATGCTGTATTCAGTTATGGAAAATTGAAAGAAATGTAATTAATGTTCTTGTCATTACAACATTCAGATGGATTAGTAGCAGTTATAGTCTAATAGTGACAGTGAAGAATGTGACACAGTACGGAAACAAGTCTGGTGTGTATGCCTGGATCAGTGGATGCACTCTTGCATGGGAGTCAGAAGGTTGTGGGTTCAAGCCCATGTCAGCATTCATTTGATCTAAGCATTGCTGATGTCTCAAAGCTCTCCACAGGATATACTGTGAAGTGAAATCTGTGTATTTTGTGCGCGAAACGTGGACAAGATCCTCAATCATGGTTTCAAATCCCTCCACTCCTCTGCTCCCCCCGACCTCTCTGACCTCCTCTCTCCTCAGAACAGTGCCCGTTGCCATCGCTCCACCGGGTCTGGCCTCCTCCTCCTCGTCCCCCCGAATCCTCCGCTCCGCCCACGGCGGCCGTGCCTTCAGCCACTACGCCCCGAGGCTCTGCAACTCCCTTCCTCGCTCCCTTCGCTTCGCCCCCCCCTTCCTATTTTCAGGTCTCGGCTTTCTTTTCGACCGCGCCTTGGGTCGCGTTCTTCCCACGCACACAACCCCCCCCCCTCCGCCGCCGCCCGGGCTCGGCCCCGGGATCCGTTATTGAGAAGCGCTCTGGGACGCCGTCCGGAGTGGAGGGCGCTATATAAATTCAAGTTGTTGTTGTTGTTGTTGCTGCTGTCGTTGTAGGAGGGGGGAAAGCCTTGAAAGTGAGGACGAGGACCTTGAACTCGATCCTCCGAGGGCTGGGGAGCCAGTGGGGTGCGCCGAGCGATGGCGTCACACGGAGCCTGGATTACAGACCTGAGCAAAGGACACACCTGAGCAAAGTGACACCTGTGCTGAAGGAAGGTCCGAGTCTGCGCAGTACGACCAGCTGGGCCGTGGGCGGGGTTGAGCTTCGAGTCTGCGCAGCGGCGGCAGGCGCCCGACTCCCGAGCCTGCGCAGTACGACCAGCTGGGCCGTGGGCGGGGTTGAGTTTCGAGTCTGCGCAGTGGCGGCAGGCGCCCGACTCCCGAGCCTGCGCAGTACGACCAGCTGGGCCGTGGGCGGGGTTGAGCTTCGAGTCTGCGCAGTGGCGGCAGGCGCCCGACTCCCGAGCCTGCGCAGTCGGCGCCGGGCTGCGTCACTCGTCCTCTCGCCTGGAAGGTCGCTGTGAAGCCGCCGCTCGGGCCTACTCCTCGGTCCGGCTCCCGATGCTGTCTCTCGCCGCCCGTTCGGGGGTCTTCGCCCCGTACCTCTCGGCCACCACCTATGCCGTGGCCTCGCAGCTCAAGCCGCTGGCGGTCGGCGCGGTCTCCAAGGGCGAGGAGGTGCTGCTGGACTTGAAGAGGCCGCTGCTGTGCGGGGAGTCGCTGTCCGGCCGGGCGCCTCGGGGCGGCGTCTCTGCCACCGCCGGCATCAACGGTGAGTAGCGCTGGAGGAGGGAGGGAGGGAGAGCCCGGCTTTGGCCGGCCTGACCCCCCCACCCCGCCGGGCGTTAATAAGGGCCTGGGCGCTATGGTGGTCGTGCAACTCGGGCGGCCCTGTCAAGGGGAGGGGACCCGGGCTCCCTCTCCCCTCCTCCCCCCCCCCCCACACACACCACCCCCGGCTCAGCTCCTCAAGGCCTGGGTTGACTTCAGGGCTCATCTCATCTCGAGGCCTCTTCTTTTTTTTTGAGGGTGAAACCGTCGCCGGGAAGGAGGTGGGGGGTCCCGGGGGGGGGTCCCGGGAATCCTGTCAAAGCCGATGCCCTTTTCCTTCCATCGAGGGTGTGTGTGAGCCTTGGTGTGGTTTCCCCCCCCACCCCATCCTGACCCCCTGAACATCACCTACTTCCGTTTACAGGCCGCCAGCCTCCCCCCCTCTCTCCCTCTCTCCCTCTCTCGGTGCTGGTCCTGACCTTGCAAGTGACTGGGGAGGTTCGATGATGAGGAATAATAAACTCTTGCGTTTGATATATAGTCGACGGGACAACTCAAAAGTGCTTCACAGGATACACCTCTAGAGTGTAGTGACGACATCTTTCAACAATGCAGCACCACCCAACTGCCCAACCCCCCCTTCCCCCCAACCACCCCCTCCCCAACCCCACAGTGTCATCTTGGCAAGTTTAATGCCTTGAGGTGGGGCTTGAACCCACCGACTCCTGACTAGGACTACCAGCTGAGCCAGGGCTTGCTCGGGTTTGTTAGCCGTCGCCGTCATTGTGGAGTTTTCTGTAGATATCCTGAAGCAAACTCTTCCACGGACGTGACCCGAATTCCCGAAGGCGATCAAGCGAAAAACGCACTCGTGCTCCTCCGCCGTTCAGCAGAGGCCGCATCCCGTCAGAGGTGTTTCCATCTCCAGATAAATCGTAGTGCTTCATACCAAGATTTGTTCATCTTCTGTTGCAATTATCATCGTACTCCACAGTCCTGTTTTGAATTAGATGTTTCACTTTTTGTGAATCATCTGCTGCCTTGTATTGAAATGCCTGTTTATATCCAGAAATGAAAATTAAAGTAAAACCTTTATCAATTTCTAAAATGCCATTAGGTGAGACCATCCCTTAAGACAGCAGTGGTCTTGCACTTCTGATGATTCTTTCAGATGAACCAGCGAATTACCAACAAATTTCACTGGTCCCAGTGTTTCATTGCACCTGTTTTTCAAATGCTGGGGCACCAGTTTTCATCGCTTGTTCTGGTTATTCCAAAAGTTCAGAAATGTTTCCTAAAATGACTATATGGGCCAAAAAGAGCTTGGTTAACCTCATCGTACAAAAATATATTTTCCTTGTTTCACGAATTTGTCTATGGTGCCCTGTGGTTGTCCGTTGCATTGGAAACCGGTGTTACCAAAATGTTTGGCTTGAAAATGTGCAGGTGTAAGAAATTTGTCAGCTTGGCTCAGTTGGTATCTCGCTTCTGAGTCAGAAGATTGTGGGTTCGAGACTCGCTTCGGGGACTTTGAATTCAGGGTCCAGAGTTCTCCCAGTATCTTGTCCAACAATCCTCCAGATAAAATTGGTCATTCACTTTGTGGCTGTTTGTGGAAAATTGCGGTATGTAAATTGGCTGACACATTCACGTGCAACATAGTCATTACACCTTAGCAGCATGGTCCAACAGGCAGCCAGCGGACCTTTCTCAAATAGGGAATCCAGCCTGCAGCAGCCAAAAGGTTGGACCACCCTGACTTACAGTATATTCTGTGAAGTGCTTTGCAAAGGCGCTATATCAAATGCAAGGATTATTATTATTGTAAATTAAGTATTGTTGATAGCAATTTGTACTTGCTACAGACTTTATTCATAAAGGAATGCAAATTGTCACAGGAGGAAAAAGTTTCCACTGAAGATAACTATTAAGCGAAAATGCACATTTGTAGGTATCGTATGAGTACGGAGATTAGCTATAATGTGCTCAACAGTTTAATAATATGGGGGCAATGATATGTCTAGGTTTGCACAGGGATGAATAGCTACTAGGCATGTTCCCGGAGGGCCCATCTTTTTAACTATATTATCAGCTTCAGCTCAAATGTTGTTTTGGTGTCCCAAGTTGTGTCCAAAGCCTTCAGAGATTTGAAGATAGACATTACAATGCTTGCGTACGAGAATGAGACTCGATTCAGTTGAAATCGCACATTGAATGACTAAATATAGTATTGGGAAGCTCTATGAACTATCTGGATTTAATTTATTCAAACTAAATTTGTACAGTAATTTTGAATTATTCAATGTAGAATTACAAATATATAATGTGCTAAGTACAAGTATTAGAAACAAAATAGTGTGATGCAGATGTGATTGGTTGTGATTTCAGCTGAGTAAAACTTTCAAATGCCTCTTGGAATTAAAAAAAAGTAAGATCAGAAACCAGCAGGGGAAATTTGAAATTAAAATAGTTTTAATTATAATTCATGCCTAAATGAGATTCTACTGTTGTGATACGTGATGGCCAGTGATGGTCTCTGCTACCAACGTAAACCTCATAATCCTTACACAGCTGGGAATGCTTCACTGACATCTTAAATGTTCTTAGAATTATTCTGTAATCTATTGTCAGTACTATCCCTTTTTAAAAAATGGTATCTTGATAAACATCTAACTCGTTTCCTCATACCCAGTACTGAAGTAGTAATTTCTAGCCTCTAATAGCATTACTGAACCTCATCCTTGGTAACAATTGGGATGCAACCTCAGACGTTGACAGCATCCTTCCTGCCTTTGCTGCATTTAATTTGCTAGTTACAACAGGTCCTCCTTGGGTTTCTCACACATTTTGTGAGTATAGCAAATCAGTACTAAATATTTTAGACGATCTACTCCATGTTAACAGGAAAGAGGAGATAGTTTAACTTCTGGAAGTGTTGTACAAAGCTGTGTGAGTATGTAAACTATTACCTTGGCTGAAATGATTACTAAATTTTTTTTTTTTTGTCTTGTACAGTTGCTTCGAGTGTTCGCTATGCACATAGCGATGTCAAAATTCCAGATTTCTCTGACTACCGGCGGGCAGATGTTATGGACGCCCAGAAAACATCACAGGACAGCATTGATACGAGGAGGGGTTTCTCCTACTTAATAACTGGAGCAACTCTCTGTATGACAGCCTATGCTGCAAAGAACGTCGTCACCCAGTTCATCTCGAGTATGAGCGCCTCTGCTGATGTGCTGGCAATGTCTCAGATTGAAGTCAAGTTGGCTGATATACCAGAAGGCAAGAACATGACCTTCAAATGGCGAGGCAAGCCCCTGTTTATCCGCCACCGTTCACCCAAGGAAGTTGAGAAAGAACAGGCAGTGAACCTAGCTGAGTTGCGAGACCCTCAATTAGATTCTGACAGAGTGAAAAATCCACAGTGGATGATTGTCATTGGTGTTTGCACTCACCTGGGCTGTGTGCCAATAGCGAATGCTGGTGAATATGGGGGTTACTACTGCCCCTGCCATGGATCTCATTATGATGCGTCAGGGAGAATCAGGAAAGGCCCAGCACCAACTAATCTGGAGGTGCCTCCTTACGAATTCACTTCTGATGATGTTGTAATTGTTGGTTAATTTTAAGGATCTTAATCATTGAATACCTTGTGGTTTTGCTTTTGTCACTTGTACTTAAGTCAACTGAATAATTTTTACCAGCAGCTTGTTAAGGTGATTGTTGGTGTACAAGTTTGATGGAGGGGGTTAATGGTGTAAACCAAGCTTGTCTTTAAATAAATGTATCTTGCCTCAATAGTTGTGGTTCAATTTCTGGTAAGGTCTTAATATCGCATGATTACAACTGCTTAAAATAATACTTTAATGTGGAGTGGATGACGTCTCACAATGAAACTATCGCATTGGTACTTGAAATAATATTGACCCGCAAATTGCAATAAAAATAGGCTTTTATGGTATTGGAAGCAGTCACCTTTCTGGTTTTGCGACTTTTAAATTTGATAATCATATGTCAGGTTGAAAGGATGGCAATTATACTAAAAAAAATCTTATCTATATAAAACTAATGGGTAACATAATCCATGTTTAAAACTGCTCTCTTTCGGTATTTTGTAACTTCAATACTCAGCAAACCTATCAACAACTGAACACCAAAAGGATTGAAGCTATTTGTAACTGCAAATTGTGATTTATCACAAAACTAATTAACCATGCAACAATGAAATTGTGCTTCCTTAAGTAATATATATTATATATACCTATATACTATATAGAAATAAAAGCCTAACTTGATAACTAAGTGGTACTTGCAGCAGATGTAGCACATCAAAGCACTTTCCACAATTTGTTTTGAGGAATAGGGATTAATTTGTGACAAATACAGTAGCTAATCTGCTGAGGGAAGAACATTAGACGTCATTAGAAGAACTTTTTGTTCTCTGAATTCAACCACACAATCTGTAATGAACCACTTGAACAGTTGTGCAGAATCTAAAACAAGCACCTTCAAGAACACTGAACTCACAACCTCCAATTTGTGCTGATGTGCGGAATTCGTAGTCAAAAGGTGAGCTGCTACTACCTGATTCAAAACTCCTTCAAAAAAACAAAATAATAATAATAAATTTGTCACTTCAGTCCATGACTGTGGGACTCTGCTGTGTGCAAATGGCTGACGGGTTTTGCTCACAAAATATACCATCAATTCACTTTACAGTATATTTTGTGAAGTGCTTTAAGACATCTCAGACGTGATAAGACGCTATATCAAATGCAAGGATTATATAACTGAGGCAAACTGGCACAACAAGGAAATGCATTTTTAAAGCTATTTTCATGTCGGGAGGATGTCCCAAACACACACTAAGCCTTCACCTGAGACACAGGACTAGCTACAGTAAAACTTTATACTTGAATAATGATGAGATAAAACATTCAGAAGTGAAATGCTTCTTGTGTTTGCTAAACGGCAGTTAGCTCAGCCTTCCAAATCCACTTGCATCTTTTAGACTTGTATTTTCTTGGAGAAGGCAGTTATATTTTACATTTTCTATTCTGCCACTCTGAGGGTAGCAAGTGCTGGACAGTTTGCCTGACTGATTTAGTTGCCAGAAGATCCTATGACAGTGCAGATAAGTCCTCCATATTTTAACCTCATCTCTGCTGATCATGACTTTGTCGAGACCAACAATTTGGGGGAGAATTCATCAGATGCTGGGAGTTGAACCAGACTCTCCTGGGGTACAATGCTTCTAAATGGACTTGAACACAACTGGAATCTACTCTTCAAGCTTTTCCTCTTTTAATATAGGAAAATAATAGAAATCATGAGCTAAATACAAAACCTTCTGATAAATTCTTTAGCTGTGCCTGAGCATTTATTATCCACATCCCCAGATGCTGGTGCCTTGAACAACTAGATGCGATGACAGTTATCTAAACATATACACACTTAGGATGTGACCACTAACCATTATTTAAAAACCCTTTGTTTCCTGGGGCAATTTCACAATATCATATTTTCAAATTTTACTTGTTCATCAATTTTTGTTTGGTTTACAGAGCAAGTGGACCAGCATTAATCTTGTCACTGCCCAACGAGCAGGTCATAACAATATCCCAAAGGCAATAGATGTTTTTTAAACTTGCAAAAAAGAATGACTTCAACACAAAAATATTATAAGAATGATTTCCAAAGTCACTAGCTTGCAGCAGGTTTAGTAATTTCTAGCATAGTTTATCACATGTGTCAGAATTGCCTAGTGCTTTGCTGTTGGAGGCCTCTGGCACTTGAAATTCTAATAACTCGCTGGCTAGACTTCACAAACTGATGCATCATCAACTAATAAAGCCCTGAAAATAGAAAAAAATTGATTGGGTTCTTTACTCATGTTCTTGTTGAAAAGGATTGACATTAATATCAAGGTATTCTACTTATTTAACATCTGAAAGTTGACAGGTGGCTGGATGACTGCACATATCTAGGAAATGGAGTGTATTTATTTTCCGTGAGTCACAAATCAAAAGAGTTTGACGTGCTGCAAGGCTTTTCAAGTGGTGGGTTATGACAGAGGAATTTTTTTAATCTATTGTACATTTGTTTTTGCAATAAATATACCTCTTTCATTTTGCATTGTAAACTCTTCTATGATCTGGATCTTGATTAATCAATGAGCTCTTTGTATGGATTGCTAGAAGGAAAAAAGGACAAATCATTCTTTACAACAACAAGATTCCATTTATTGAGTGCCTTTCACGTCGGGAGGACGTCCCAAGGCGCTGTACAGTTGGGTCAGGACCCGAGCATGGGGGAAATGGTTAGGGTGAGTGGAGGGAAGGGAGGGAGCGAGGCGGGGGTAGAGATTTGAGAGGGGAGCTGAAGGCACGGTCAAAGAGAAAGGTCTTGAGACCGGCCTTGAAGGAGGAAAGGGAGGAAGCGGCGAAGGCACTGGGGGATAGAGTTCCAGAGCCTTGGGGCTGAGAGGCTGAAGGCCCGGCCACCGATGGTAGGGCGGTTGGGGCGGGGGATGTGGAGCAGACCGGAGCCAGAGGAACGGAGGGTACGGGCAGGTAGGTAGGGGGATAGTAGGTCGGAGAGGTAGGAGGGAGCAAGGCCGTGAATGGCCTTGTAGGTGAGGATGAGGATCTTGAATTCGAGTGTGAATAATGAGAGTGCTAAACATAAAGGATGAAAATATTCCAGTCTAGAATTTCAGGATCAATTTTCATTTTGCTAAAGAGCAAAGTGATACAATGTGCTAAACTGCATGTTTATGACACTGACATTATAGCTGGCTTCAGCGATGCAAAGTTAAGTGTTTTCGTATTAAGATGTTCCAAATCCAAACAATTACAGTCAAACCTGTCTTCAACCTCTCAGGGGATTGGGCCAAAGTGACCTTTATATAAAGGTGACCTCTGAGTAAGGGTTTGTTGGTGTGCGAGATCCAGGCTGTTCCAAGGTGGTTAACGGGGTGGTTGTTGAATGGAGGTGGTTGCTTGAACAGGTTCGACTGTAATTCCACTTACTCCAGTGCCCCTACAGAAATATTATTCAAGTAATTTCTGTAAAGTGTAGTGACATTTTGAAGGTAAACCAAGAGTATAACCACTGTGTCAAGAAACACACAAACATAAGGTGAATTGGTACCAGAGAATTGGGGAGGATAGATGGTTTCATTGGTGGAACAAACACAGATGTTATAATACTATGGATTGAAAGGCCTCCCGAATCAGATTTCCATGGAATGATCAATTCATCAAGAGAGGATTGTTGGCTGCTGGAGCACTAAAAGAACCCCCTTCTCTTTTAGAATAGTGTTATGGTATCTGTAATCTTGTTTTGGCATCTCAACACAAATGTTAACTGGAAGGTTTTCAACTACACCAGTTACATGCTGGAAAGATCTTCCTGCTAAAATATTGGATGTCCATATTATCTCATACAAGCAGAAAGTTTCCCTCTCATATTTTTCCTTGGAACAAGCTGAAAGGTGGCAAACAAAACTTGTTTGATTGCATAAACAGGAAGGCAATTCTAATAATGTTGCAACTAGAATCATCTTCACAAAGGAAGTGTTACCAAAGTGAAGCAACCTTAAGTGTTACACTGATGAGAAAACCTCTAATGAAGACCTAGTTTGTAGAAAACTAATCAGAAGCAGTGAATCGTTTACTGGAGTTCGGGCTCCTAAACTTCAATTTGACACCTTTTTTACAGCTTCCGAAGTGATGTTTGACACCTTAACTAGTTGTTTATTTTCTCTTAGACACATTTTGAATTACCATCTGTTACATCGTCAAAAATGTGTCACTTGGATCACATCACAGCATAAAATATTTAAAAGTTATAATGCTACATTTTTGTAATAAATGTGACTATTTGAAACATAATTGTGATGAGAATATGGATGTTCACTTGTAAATATTTAACTTTGCTCTATTCACTTTTTTGTACTGTTTATTTGCTGAAATCTGTTTGCAAGAATTGTGTGGAAAGTGGAACTAGTGTTTAGCAAGTGACAGCATGGATCAATCATTTACTGAAAGTATGAGACGTGTGAAACCATCATCTACTACCTTAGGCATCCACTGTGCAATGATAAAACAATAAAGATATTTTTCTTCAGAAATCCCCTGCAGGTATTGTTCTGTGTTTGTCATACCATAAACATTTATAGCATTTTGAAAAAACAGAATGAGTAAAATATAGCTACAAAAGAAGACAGACACCATAAATAATACACAATTGTAAGTTAGAGAAATAACTACCCCTGTTGAAGCAAAATACAACACACAGAACTATAATTTAAAAAAAAACTTGTGTATTCAATTCAATTATTTGGTTGCTTTAAAACCACTTGTCTACGAGAACTAGGCAAATGTAATTGAATGAGTCTGACATGTATCAGACGCCTTTCACGTCGGGACGTCCTCCCGACGTGAAAGGCGGTCTATAAATGGAATCTTGTTGTTGTTGTTGTATCAGATCATCTGTCCAGAAAGACTGCTGAAGTTTGTGATTGAACGGATCAATATGCAATACTCCAATAAGTTCATAAAGCAATCAGTGAATGTGAAAGTGGAGACACTTAGTTCTGTCAGAGGAACATTTGAGCTAGTCATCGGTTGCTTGGAAGAAATCTGAAAATATATATTTCAAAAACTAAGTAATTATGTTCAGCCAGTAAGCACAGAGCAGAAATGCAAACTTCAAAATGTGCATAACCCATGAAGAAGCTCCTAATTCACCGTTGTCTCATGAAATTATTCCAGTAATACAATAATATTCCTT